ATAAGTTAGGAGATGATACTATAGGTGATGTAGGATTAGGAGCCTCGGACTCCGATGATTGCAAAGTAGAGCCTTGGCCTCGAACTTTTTTCTTTCCGATGTCGATATCCTTAAACTTTTCAAAATCTTTCATGAGATTCCATACATGATCAAACTTAAAACCTTTTTTATAAGTTGGTTCTTGCATAAGTAGCATTTTTTCTTGATTAATCTGCAAAAATATGAATCAAAATTGTATAAAAGTAAATATATATAAATATATTATAAGTAGTTAGAAAATAGTCACTTACAATATCTATATCTGAAGCACCACTGGGATGCAAATTTTCTATTTGTCTAATACATCCACTTAATTTTCTTATTGCCTTCTCAACTAAGGCTATTCGACACTGCAATGATTTCTTATTGCGATATATCCATGATTCTTCCTTTAAATTATTATAGCTTTGTTCAATTCGAACTCAAAACTGATCATAGGATTGGCATATGCCGGTGATCGGGTCTTGAGATATGTCTACATAGATTTGACATAATAATTTATCCTCATTGAGAGAGTATCCAGATGATCGAGGCATTTTTTAGTTGTTTTCTGGAAATGTGAGTGTCCTATCTTGCCTTTATGACAAGAATAGACTTCTACATATATTATATATAGAATGTAAGTTTTGCTTTTTACCATGGGATGAATTTCACTATATTTTTAACCATTGGATGAGATTTTCATCCTTATCTCAATTTTTTTTAGATAAGTAAAAATTATCTATAAATATTAATACGATAGTGTAATCTTCATTTTCACCATGGGATGAATTTCACTATATTTTTAACCATAGGATGAGATTTTCATCCTTATCTCAAAAAATTACTTCTAGATAAAATAAAATTACTATGTAGATAAATAGGATATAATGTAATTTTGATTTTTACTATTGGATGAATTTCATCATATTTTTAACCGTAGGATGAGATTCTCATAGTTATCTCAAAGTTATTTTAGATAAATAAAATTATATGTAGATATTAATCGAGTAAAACCTATCCGCACATAATGTATACAACAATCTAATACATGCATCTCATGTGTTTGAATTTATAATTCATTTTACGCAATTTTAAAACCTATCCGCACATAATGTATATTTTCTTGCAATTTATGTTATTTAAAAATTTAGAATAAAAAACAATTTTATATCATATTAAAAATTATATAAAGTAATTATTTGGGAAAAAAGAAATAAAGGATTTATATTATGAAATAAGAAAATAAGAATGAAATAGAAATAATAATATAATATTGAGGAGAGAGAAAAAGATTCATTTTTAGAGAGTAAAATAGAGAATTGGGATGGAGTTGGTTGTCTGAAAAAATAGAGAACTCTATATTTGGAGAGTAAAATAGAGGATTGGGTTGGAGATGCCCTAAGGAATAATTTCAAATTTTAAATTATTATAAAAATAAAAATTACAAACTTAACTAATAATAATAATAATAATAATAATATTTTTTTAGAAATGTTCCAAATGACAGTCACACATAAAATTCTTTTCCTGGTATCAATTTTCAAAATAAAATTCCCCCCAAAAAAATTGAAAATATTAAAAATATACAAAAATGATATATTTTATTTTTAAATTTGAATTGATCCTAATCCTTATCTGATTGATGATTTTTGAATTTCAAATTGATCAACTTCTTATCAACGATTTATTAACTTCTCATAATGAATGACTTCTTAATGCATAATTATCCTATAAATAAACTACCCCACTTCTTCTAAACCAACCCCACCCACTTCTTCTCCTTTTGTCTTCTTGAGGTTCTGTGAATTTATTTTTCATATTGAAAAAATCTATGATAGTTCAAATTATGAGTTTTTTGATATAATATATTATCATGGTTATCTATATATGATTAGTTTTCTCTTTAACTATCTTACATTCGATCTCTTATATATATATATATATATATATATATATATATATCAAAGTAAGACACATCCAAGGAGGGATCAATCCTTCATTAGTGAAGGAGATTTTCTATATATGTCAATATCCAATCAAAGAATACAATAGTGATACAATTATTAGTCTGATGAAACTAATGGTAATTTATGCTTCTTTGAAAGAATTCTTTTCACGAAAAACTTACTTTTTATATTACAAATATTTTGAAATTCTAAAATGTTATGTTTCAGATGGTTATCAATCATTGAATTGAAAATAGGGTGTTATTAGCAATGAAGAAGATAAAACAAAGATGTTGATGTCAGCGTCATAAATTCTATGTCTGGAAAGGAAAAAAATAAATATATACTAGGAGAAATATTTATATAAAATAATTTAGTAAGGAAATACTTAAATTAAAATAAAAAAAGGAACAAAAAAAATATTAACTAAGTAATAAACAAAATTAATTTAAAATCTGAAATTAAAAATTAAAAATATTTAAATATCTTAAAATCTGTTTAAAGGAGAAGAATATTTATGCACGATGGAGTTTTTTAAAACATAATTCATATTCAATTAACAAAGTTAATTTATAATCTGAAATTTAAAATATTTTAAATCTGAAAATATTTTCATTTTAAACAACAAAAAAAGAAGAAGATAACTTTACCCTTTTTAAAAAAAATAATAATCTTCCCACATTTTAAAAAATAAGACGAATCTCTTCTTCTTATCCTCTTATATATTTTTATATCTATTGTTTTTAATTTTTGATCGACTTTTAATAATTATATTATACCATCAGATTTTTGCTCAATGTTGAGATAAAGAAAAAATAGGAGTAAGTGGCACATGAAAGTGAAAAACATCCTTTAAGTTTATGTATCATGGTGAAAAATTTAGAGAATTAGAAAAATAAATGTAAGTTTTGATTCATTTGATATTTGGTATATTAGAAAGATAAAGTATAATGAATATTTTATTTAAGTTGAATACCTGAATAAAATAAGTATAATGCCTCTAATTATGATCCGTTAGCATCTCTAAAATAGTTGAAGTTGTTACAAAAAATAATAGTATTGCATCGATTTGGCCAAGAATGACATTCATATTATTATTTTTTTTTTCAGTTTTCTGAGTGAAAGTTGGGAGGTTTAAATAAAAAGATTTGTCAATTAAATTTGTGTTTTTTTAAGAGTATTATACTAATTATCATTAAAATAAAAAAATAAATATTAATTAAAAATCTACATGCATCACAAAAAACCACGTGTCATTTTTAGGATAAAATTAGTTGTCAATGTAATTTTAAGTTCTTGGTATTATTAAGTGCATAATACATTTTATTAGTTATTTTTAAGTATAAAATTATCACATTTTAAATTATATATACTAGTCTAAATTAAAAGGTGTAATTCCGGCAAACTCATCTTAAATGCCGGGACAAATTGGGATTGGTCTGGTTTAGAACTAGTTTAAATGTTCGATCTTCTATTTAACCTACTCTTACAACGATCTGTGATTCGTTCCACCAGACGAATCACCTCTTCCGCTGGAATTCTCGACCGGGCACCTGACTTCGTCGCCACTTTTTCCGTCAGAACGGAAACACTGTAAGCTTGTACTGTCTTTTTTTTCTCTTTTGGTTTTTGGAACTTTAAATTAATTACATAGTATTATTATTGGACCTGCATCTCTCTGTATCTGTACACTGGCTGGCCCTCCCTTGCTGTTAAGGGCTTCAAAACTAGTTCTCAACAAAGAAAAACACCATCTTTTCTTGTAGTATTTTTTTTAATTAATAGTCTCCTACAAATTTTCCATTATGCCACCAGTTAAAACTTTGTTAGCAAAACCTTTCTCAACAGGTCTCAAATCACTCTTAAACTTGTGACCAAATTGTTGAATAGTTGTTGATTTTGTCCAGTATGTTGCCATTCTGAACAGAACATCTTTAAATAATCTTTCTAAAACAAGAATAGATCCGAGATTGTTCAACTTTTGAAATCACAACTATAACCTTGAGATTTCTTTAAGTTAAAAGTTCGACTTTGTTTAAATCATGAATCTAACATTGTCTCCTCACATATCTTTATTGTTTATTAGAAATAGGGAAAATGACCTGATATACCCCTCAACTTTGCAATTTGGAGTTGATATGTCCCTCGTTATGAAAATGGCTCATATATACCCTTACCGTTATACAAACGGCTTACATATACCTCTACCGTTACAAAATGAGCTTACATATACCCTTCATTTAACGGAAGTGAAAAAATTAGTTTTAAATTTATATTTTTGACTTTAAATTTTTTTTAAAATTATTTAGGGGTATATATGATTCTTCTAGCAAAGTTCAGGTATATTTTAATCTTTTTCGTACATAAATTATTTTTTTAACTTTTTTGATTATCATTATTTGAGTTTCTTATTCTTATTTTATTTTTTTCTTTCATTCCTTATTGTAAAGAAAAAAAATTAAAACTATTTTTTTGTGGCTATATTATATTTAAAACTATTTTTTTTCTATATTGTAATTTAATTTTTGTATTTGAAGAAAAAAAAATTGGTCATCTATAACAAGTTTTACAAGAATATTAGTGAAACATAAATAAATTTGACCATCAAAATAATAAATCTAAATTAGTCATTGAAACAAAAAAAATGTTTGACGAGGATTAAATATACCCATTATGGGGTTATATATATATTTTAAAAATAATATAAAAATTAAACTAAAATTAATTTTTTTCATTTCCGTTAGAGAAAAAGGGTATATGTGAGCCATTTGTATATAATTAGGGGTATATATGAGTCACTTTCATAAAGATGGATATATCAGCTCTAAATGACAAAGTTAAGGGGTATATCAGACCCTTTTCCCTTAGAAATATGAAGATGATTACTGCGTTTAAATCCTGAATCTAATGCTATCCCCCTACATATATATTGATTATTAGATAGAAGAAACATGACGAGTTCGAGCTACTCTTTGACAACTAGCAAAAGAGAACCTTCGCTGGTCAGCAACACCAAACTAGATCTTCTTGCTGATGTTGCCAACAAGGTTATTGACATTGCTAGATAAATCATTTTACGACACTATTTTCGCTCGGGGCAATGTGTTTAACACATCCGATACTATTTTTTTGTGCTGGAAAAGCATTGCTGCTGAAGTAGATACTGCTATGATCTTTATAATCCTAAAAGATTTACCTTGCCATACTGTGTACTCGAAACTGAGTGGATGGAGTAACTGTGATGGGACAGTAGTTCCAGAATTTGTTTGGGTTTTGGATCCAATTAATGGTACACCAAGTGGACTATTGCCTACATTTGGCACATTGATAGCTGTACTTCACAATGGAAAACCAGTCATTGGTTGGATCAATAACCCCATAGCAGGAATCAAAACCGTTGGGAGGAGGGATTGCATCACTACTAGGAATGGGGTGCACGTGAGAAGTCGAGTTTGCGAAAACTTGGGACAAGCATATGTTGATATCAAGGACCCCGATTACAATAAAGATGCTAAAGTTGCATATGGTCTGCTGGCATACAAGGTTGGAGAAACTTTTTTCAATGCACTTGTGTTACTTACACTGAATTGGCTGCTGGAATGTTGCAAGTCGTTGTTGATAGTGCTGTTGATCCATGTAGTTTTCTAGGGCTAATTCCTATGGTGGAGGGTGCAGGGGGGATTATAACTGACTGGCAAGGAAATCAACTTTCTTGGCAGCCTTCTCCAGCGTCTTCCATTCCAAAAGACGGGTTTAATGTTGTTGCTTCTGCTGACCCAAGAATGCACCAGCAGATCATTTCTCAAATATCTTGATTATTTTTGTTTGTTTGACTTGTAGTAAAACTTCAGTTATTAACTGTTTGGATAATTTGGTTTTCCCCTCAATTCTTGTTGCCCTTTTATTCATAAAGTAAATTGTATCCCCGTGTACTTGTTTATACTCAGTCGGTTTTATCTTTTGGAGTTGATTGTTATGTCTCTGATTCGTGTTCTTGTATGAACAATTTCGACTGCTGCAGTGGTTTACACCCCCGAGATAGTTATTTATATACACAGTATTAAAGGTCTAAGAGAATATATGAACATTTGAAAAAGAACTCTTAACTCCCCTGCCAATGAATCTTTCTATTCTTTCCCTCTTTCATTCCATATATGTTCACGAACATAAAAGTATTCCATTAGTTGAGGAGTTCAAGTTGAAATGGAGAATCCAAGTCTAAGTTAAAATTACATCTGTACAGTGACAATTGAAAGTTTTATTATTGTTACAATGAGGTGCCGTTATATATTATGTTTACTAACATTTGATGGTAGATCCCATTTGGCTTATAAACAAATAATGCAAACTAGAAAGAATATGAATATAAAGAAAGATAAATGTCGTCACTATTTAAATACATTTTTCTTTCTTTTTAGGTCTTTATACTTGAAATTTATTTTGTGTATGACATTAATGATAATTATTATAAATATTTTAATATATTTTTATACACATAATGTATTTTGTACAAAAAAAATTGCTATAATGAATGTCATTGTTGTTATATGTTGAATGTTGTTATAGAAAAGTAAATACTAATGAAAAATCAATTTTGAAGAAAATAAGACGTTATTGTGAAACGTCATTGTAACACGCGAGCTTTGACTGTAATTGCAAAAGTGTAGAATCCAAGTCCAAATTAAAATTGTAATATTAATCTTTGAGAAAATTAAATCTCTTAGCCTTTTACTATTTGAATAGAAGAAAAATGATCTTTTTCAGATCTTTTATGCGTAAAAGTAAAGATCTTTTATGAAAAAAAAATGTAAAACAAAAAAGAAATGTCTAAATGGACTAGAAAATCATTTATACTGATATCTTTTTAAGAAAGACATCTGGAAAAGTTTATTACTTGGATGAAGTCACACTATGCTCTATCAAATGATATATCGCAACCTCTGTCGTGATCCATATCAATTTTACAAACTTGTGGTTATAATTCTTAAAGATTTTACAACATGTTTTAAGGTTACATTGATAGTGTTGTCATTGGTGCTAAAATTGGATACGCATACTAAACTATAACTTGTTTTATTGTGTAATTTCTTAAGCATATCATCCTCTAAATATTATGCAAATGTACATCATCTTTTCACATTTATTGTGCCTCTTAAATATCATCCGAAAAAAATAGGTTATTGTAAGATTAAGTTCAGAATAACAATATAAAAATGAAAATAAGAAGAATTATATAAGATAATTTTCTTATTTCAAATGTGTATAATATGTGTTCTAATACCTGTATTTATAGTTTTATCTAGAGACATACAAAAATTATCCATAAATATGATATTAATTATAGGAATGACAATAGGGTACGGTGGGGCAGGGCAGGTGAAGTCATAGATTGAATATGTCCTGCCCGTTTAATTGTTTTCTATTTTTCCCCGATTCGGTGTTGTCCTATTAAACCCCTCTCCGCTCTGTTTAGCTCGAGTTTTTAAAACAGACAACCAATATATAGATTTGTCATTGAAGTTATTTTTGTAAGGAAAGTAGTGTCACGATCCAAGACTACTCCCTGACGGGACATAGTGCCTATAATCCTGAGAGACCCCAAGCAAACCACATGGCATAACATGACACTAAGATAACAACATAACTAAAACAAAGAAATAAGTGGAATAAAAGTCTCAAATGAAATCTCTTCAAAATATGGAAAATCGGAATACATGCAAGACTCCTAATGTGAAAATATTAATGTCTGAATGAGTCTCTATCATAAGTAAGTCGAACCATGAGGACTCACCAATATATGTGTAGGCTGAAAAGAATATGCACTAACCACGAGTTTTATATGGAGTGTCAACACCTATATTATAAACTAATATAAGCACAAGAATTTATGCGGTCAGTACTAGCAATGTACATCACATGGAGAAATGCAATAAACATGACATGATACGTGCTAATATGAAACTAAGATAATGCAATGACCATGCCATATCTCAGATGGTCACTGCCACACTCCTTTTCGCGCACGGCGAAAGTATTTTTCCAATTTTAGTGATGGTATTGATTAAGGGATCATTTTATTTGTTTCAGAGTCGCCACTTGGAATTAAGTTGTGGTGTTCCAAGTCACATTTTTATTTAATCCCTAATCAGAAGGAAATGACTCTTTATTTGGTCTGCGAACTAGAAATTCAGGTAAGGAATTCTGTTAACCGAGGGGAAGGTATTAGGCATCCCTCGAGTCTCGTGGTTCTAGCACGGTCTCTTTTATTAACTTTTACTTATTTTAACCATTTTTTGTATATATTTTTTGTAGGCCATGATTTACTTATTTTATTGTTGAATTTTTATTAGTCTGAATATAGATGCGTAACCGCATTCTTGGTCTTGACATTTAGAGGCATAACTGCCTTTTCCTCTCGAGTACCTCACACTTAATAATTCCTATTTACACCTATTGATTTGAATTAATGAAAGTTTAATTATTAAAATAATTTGGCAAAGGTGCGTAACGGCATCCTTGAATTTGGCCAATGTGCGTAACTGCATCCTTGAGTTTCTTAAGTATCTCAAAAAGATGTGGAATCACATTCTTAATTGAGATGAAATTTAATTATTATTGTTACATGAACTAACAAAAAAATTTTAAAAAATATTTTCTAATACATAATGAGTTATTCTTATAATAGTTGTCAATATACAACATTAAAAATATTTCCTTAAATATTAGAATAAATAGTTTCAACATTCTAAAGATCTTCATTGTTTAGTGATATGTAAGATTTAAACAATTACATTTCAACATTATAATATCAAAATTAAATACACATAAATTTTGAGCAATTTCATAATATTGGAATCAAGTCTTATATAATTATGAAATAAAACTATACTATGAACATTTATTACATAGGAAACATCCTTATTCTTAAGGAGTTAGACATATACAATAAACACTAAGTCAATAAATACTAGTACCCTATTTAGATTATTATTTTTTATGAACAAATTCACTATTAAAACAAAATCAAATAAAATCAATATAGTATACCATTGTGCCCAGCAAAATAACATAAGTCAAACTACAATTAATACAAGTTGATGTCAATTATACCACCTACTAATAATCATTATTATACCAGAAAATGATCCATAATAATCCACATAAATAAACTAATAGGCATACGTACAGGAGAACAATTAACACAAAAATTTGAAATGTATCTTATCAAAACCTCAACTAATTTATAAAAGTAGAATATAGCATCCACACACCCGATAAAAATAAGTAAATATCATACCCCTTTTTTAGTATACAATGAATAATTATCATATTATACAAATTTTATTCTAAACTTAAGGATATAACAGGTTCACATATATTTAAATATTATAATATTAAAGAATATTAACAAATTAAACACATACGAAATCTGAACAACTGTAATATATTGAAATCAAATCTTGTACAATCATGGCATAACGCCATACAAAAATAGAATATAAATAAGTGTTACCTCTTGTGAAAATTAGTTCACGAGAAGAAAGGACTAACAATTAGGAGCCACGAACTTGAAACTGCAAAAATAAACCTCGAATTCAACCTTTGTTTTTGAGTGAAAAGGAAAAATATATATATGTAATACGAAGAGGAATGCGTATGTTGTATGTGTGAGAGGATAAGTATGTTGCTGAATTTTTCTTCTTATGTTTTCCTGTACGTTTTTGTGTGTGATGTGTTGTGTCTGTGCGTATGTATGTTGGTTGTATATTTTCCTCTTTCTCCTCTGTATTGTTGATAGTTGTGTACGTATGTCCCCTGTAGAGTAGTGTGGCTGATTGTTGTTATAGGTGTAGTAGTGGTGTAGGTGGGTAGTGTGAAGTGGAATTGGGGTAATGGGAGAGGGTAATGGATAGTGGTGAGGATAATGGGTAATTTTTTATATTTACAAAATTATAATAATAAAATATCAATTGTTTTAAACTAATTAAAAATACTGAATGGCTAATTAAAAAATATAATTATGAAACACAAGTTTATTTATTACATCTAATTTAAAAGAAAATATATATTTTGTTTTGTAACTTTTCATTTCTTTTTTTAAACAATTAAAAATAAAACTTACCTTAAAAAGTGATTCTATTTTTGTTGTTTTCAAATCTTTTAATTTGTTGTTTTCAAATCTTTTAAAATAAACTTAATAAAAATAAGATAAAAATCAAAATATTTAATTTAGATTTATAAAAATATTTAAGCTCTAAAAATGGTGTAAAATTTTAGGTTCAGTCAAAAATTACGTGTCTACAATTTACCCCTCTTTTACTGGAAATACGAAGGGCTTTCTGACAAAGAAGTAGATAACGTGATAAATTTTGACCGAACTTGTATTTGAAGGAAAAATTTATGTGATCGAGTCTTGGTTTTGGATATCCTACATATCCCGGGTTATAAGGGAATCAGGTCACATGTAGTTCAAGGAGATAAGGTCATGAGTTTGAAGTTAAGTGAGGTTTCATCGAGGCTCCAAGTCTCTATTCCTATCCTTACATAAAAATAATGAAAGCTAATAGTCAAAAGGAAAATAAAAGTACAAGCTCGTATCTATACTGCTTCTCTTGAGTCTTCACTTGTGTCTTGACTTTCAAATATCACCTTGATTTTTGGGTGAGTATCTTGATCTTGAATTGGATTGAGGCTTAACTTGCCGCTTATAGTGAGCTTTTGGCACTCTTCAAAAATGAAAATTTGAATATGTTCTTGAATGACTACATGTTTTCTTGGTCAGAAGCTGAATAGAAATAGATGTCAGGAAGTCAAG